CAAAGAAATGGGAGTTGTGGAGCAGGCTACACAATGCAGAATGCTGCTGAAGAGCAAGATCCTGGCCTTTTTATTGACACATGGTATCCGTTATAAGGGGGAGGAGCAAAAGGAGATTAAGGGGAAGGAGATTAAAGAAAGGAGAAGGGTGTAGAAGATTAAGGATTGTGAGTCTGCCCTCCAGTCACTTCTTATCTACTTGATGACTCGGTACTGTCATTGAGATCACACCATAGTCCCCAGCCATGGTTTTAATCTTATCAACAAGGCGTTCCTCCTGGGGTCCCTTGTCATATGTCGGTCCTTAGCCCCCTGGGCATTCCTGGTCATACCTCCTGATGTATAGCCTTCCCAGCGTGATCCAGCTTGTGCTCTTGTTTGAAGGGCACCGTGAAGGATTGGGCTCCTGTACCTAACTGACCAGGCCATTTTGACCTTGCTTAGGATTTAGAACTACAGGTGACAAAATGGTGGTCAAACAGGCTGCTTAGGAGTAGCAGACCCACAAAAAAGGGGCCCCCACAAAGTCACAGGTGGGCAAAGGATGGCTGTCCTGTGCCAGTGCAGGAACTGCACTGAGACCATCTTCTCTTTAGGAGGGGCTCACTTCTTTTTGAGTGGTTTGTTTTTGTTGATTTTGGTTAACTATGTAGAATTTGAAAGGGACCAGAGGTTCTGCAATAGCCCTCAATCTCCATATCCTGGCATCTGGCCTGTGCCCCTTGACACTCTAACAGCAGTCTGACACTTGAGAGGGTCTGTGGCCTTGTGATTTAGACATTGTGCCTAATGATGTTTAGTGCCTGTAGCTGGGTTAATGGTTATGTTAATCCCTTCCGCCCCCACCTCCAGCTCCCTGCATTGTTTGACTGAGGTTTCTGCTCTTGTGGTGCCTCATTTCCAGCTTTTCTTTTCTTATCCTCCATCACCAGCACCAAAATGGAATTCTTTGGGGTTTTTATGATGCCTTCACTACATTGACGTGCAACCATGGGCTATAGGTGATTGATCTCAACTTTCAACCCCTCCCCCCTCCCAGGAAGTCTTGGGGAGTACTGAGCTTTGAAGTAGCAGCAAAGAATTAGTAATAATTAGTATGTGGTAGAGGGAGTGAGAGGAGCTGAGACCAGGAGAAATTATGATGCCCTTACAAGTGACTGGTCTCTCAGATAAGGATTAACAAGTTTGTCTTCCCCATCTCTTGCAACTTCCCCCTTATTTGACAAGTTTGCCTTCTTTATGACCAGTCTCTCAGAGAAGCATTAACAGTTTGTCTTTCCATATTTCTTGCAGTTCCCCCCTTGCTTGATGGGTTTGTCTTCTTGCATTCCAAGGAAAACAGCAGTAGTTGGAAAAAAGTAAGCTGGCGCCCACCCATCTCCGTGCTGACCCCCTTCTCCCCTCCCCTTTGCTGACCCCCTTCACCCCTCCCCTTTGCAGACCCTTGCCCAACTTCCCCCTTTTTTTCCTTTGTATAAATACCCCTGCACTCTGCCAAAGAGCAGGACAGTTGTCTTTTAGACATGAGTCCACTGCCCTCCTCATTTGCCAACAAATTAAACCACTTTCCTTTTCCTCAAATTCTACTTCCTTTTATTGGGTGAGGGGAAACTGAGGCCGGCGTTCAGTATCAAGTGGGGAACGGGAAAAGCTGAGACAGGGGACAGTGATTTGAAACAATATAGGAACAGAAGAAACAAAACAGCTCCCAGGAAAAGCGAAGTGCTTTACTGAAATATTGCTGAGCCAGCCACCACCTGGAGTAAGATCTGGTTACTGGATAATTAGGAACAGACATAAACAACCACCAGGAACCTTCCCGACTGAAAGGGTTGGTATGGTAAGGAAAAGAAGAGCCAGGCCAAGTTTTCTCAAAGGTGGGAAAATTTATTGCACTCCTGGGTGAGATTCACAGACCCAAGGTGGGGGTTGGTGAAGTTGAGCCCATTGTCAGAGGAAGGCAAGTTTTTAAAGGGTGGGGAGAGGAAACTGGTGGAGGAACTGGTTTGAGAAGGAACAGAGTTGTTTTCTGATGGTATTAGCAGGCCATCATTCCCATCCCTAGGTGGGCTTCCTCAGTCTCACCCCTAGGTGGGATTTTGCATTCCTGTCCCCTGCATCGACCTTTCATACCAGCCTTTTGTTGATAGAAAAAGGGGCAATGGCTCTTTCTTTGGCTACTTCCTGCTAGAAGTTGCAGGGGCTGGAAGGACTGGCCCACCACAGCCAGGCGTGGAGGGACAGTCACTTTGTTACAGGGCAGCCACAGGTGTAACTTGGAAACCACGTTGGGCGCCAAACTGTTACAGGCCTCCCCCCGACCCCATATAAAACGGGTTGCCTGACTGTGGGTCCTCACCCACGCGCTTAAAAGGGACTTAATACTCCATTTAATACTTAATTTTACTAAGAGATTTATTCACAAGGGAAGGGGAAATGAGGAAATGTACAACTCAGGGAGAAAAGTGGGAGATTAAAGTCTTAAATGCGTCCTACCCAATCCACTGATCTGGAATCCCAAATGGCACTCTGAGAGCTGGCAGTGAGCCATGAGCCATGAAGCCAGGAGGCGAGCGAGAGACCCCAAGGCCCACGTGTCTGGTTTTTATACCAAACCTGGCTGCTTAACCTGCTTAACTCAGGTCCCAGCCATCTTCCCTTTGGTGGTGATGGGATTTGTCTTTCCCCATGTCTTGATGGCTTTGGTTTGGGGTGGGGGTGGAGTCCACAAAGCCTGTATGGAATTAGTTCAGGACATCCTTTCCCCCTAACAACTTTTCCAGTGACCCTGGATGCAGCAGATGGGGCATGGTCCCAGCAGAGGTCGGGGGATGGAACATTGTCTGGACCAATGGCCTTCTCGGCCACATTTGAAGCAGGATCCTGTGGGCAGTATCCCAAAGAGAGCAGCAGGTGTCCACATTGATCCAGTCATTGGAAGAGCAGGTCCTGATGGTCTCAAAGCAGCCACCAGGACCTGTGCCTGGAATTTGTCCTTCTGGTGACTACAGAGTTCCCTCTCTGCCCTGTCCTGTTGCTCCCCGTTGTTAAATACTTTAAAGGCCATATTCAGCAGATCCGAGACAGAGGCTTGAGGACTGTCCTCAGCCTTCTTAAGACTTTTTTTAATGTCAGGGGCTGACTGGGATATAAAATGGATAGCCAGAACTGTGATGCCTCCAGGCAAGTCAGGGTCAAGCCTGGTATGGTGCTGAAACACCTCAGTGAAGTGGCTAAGGAAGGCAGCATGGTTTTCTGAGGCAGACTGGGTAATTTCCCTGAGTTTATCAAAGTTTACAGCTTTTTGCACTGGCCGCTGCTTGGAGACCAGCTAGGAGACAGGTAATAAAATGGGTCTCGGTGAACCCTGCCCTGGGGGCCCGTGTCTGTGTCAGCCTGGTAGTCCCACCCTGGCTCTGGACTTAAGGGATCTCTGACCATTTTCCACTGCAATGACAGAAATTGTTTAAGTCTGTAAGGACCAAGAAGTCAAAAGTGCCATGCTCACGGCAGTGGGAGCCATTGTCCAATTGATATTGGGGCCATGCAGTGTTGCAATAAAAAAACAAGGCGCTTAGGGTGTATATCTGGCCTTAGTCCCAACGGATCAAGATTTGACAGAAGGAATCACAGTGGGGTGGCTGGGCTCGGCTTTGAATTGGCAAATCCCGTGGCTAACCTGGATCCTTTTCCCAAATGACAGGGGGCACAGTGTCAGGAACACAGTGTCCCACAAGTCTGACCTGGCCTACAGGGGCCAGAGACCCAGGATTGCGGCGTCCCAGGATTTGGTTCTGGCCTACAGGACAGGGGGCAAACAAGCGAGGGGGTCATCTCCACCTCTCGGATGTTGCCTAAACCGGGCACCTAGTCTGGACGGGCGTCCCCAAATCCAGGCCTAAGTGTGACAGGGGGTCGGCTGACGTGGGCCCATGGTTTATAGGACAGCCGACCAAAACAGAGAGTTAGGAGAGGAGCCAGATAGCCAAAGGCGAGGGCCTCCCAAGAAGGAGGGTCAGACAGGTGTCTTACCCCAAGGATCAAGCGCGATGGTGGATGTGAGGTGTCTGCAATGGAGAGGAGAGGTCCCAGGGACGGGAAGGCGGCCCCCTTGCCAGGGGACACAGCCTTCCTGGGTTTCGGCACCGAGATGAAAGGGTTGGCGCAGTAAAGAAAAGGAGAGCCAGGGGCCTCCCCGGTGGCGCAGCGGTTGAGCGCTGGGTTGCGAAGCTGCCCGCAGCCACTGTGGCGTCGGTTCGATCCCCGGCTGCTCCCCAGCCACCGGAGGAGGGTCCCATATGGCGCGCAGACCTCTCCTGCCGCCCGCTGCTCCCCTCAGCAGTGTACTTCGGTCCTTCTGCCTGCTCTGCTCCCCGCTCTGGCTCTGGTGAATTCTCTCACCCTCCCGCGCTTCTGACTGTACCCAGTGCATGTATAAACAAAACAAACAAACAAAATAAATAAATAAATAAAAAAACATGCCTCTATAAAATAAAAAAAAAAAAAAAAAAAGAAAAGGAGAGCCAGGCCAAGTTTCTCAAAGTTGGAGAAAACTTATTGTACCCCCAGGTGAGATTCACAGACCCAAAGTGGGGGTCGGAAGCCTAGTCAGGGGAAGTCAGGTTTTTATAGGATGGGGAGAGGGGAACCGGGCTTGCAAGTGGAGGAACTGGTTTGAGGAGGAATAAAAGTTGTTTTCAGATGATATCAGCAGGCCCCTAGGTGGGCTTTTGCATTCCTGTCCCCTGCATGGACCTTTCACTGGATATTTAACTAAAGGTTCTTCTGGAGATTGTTGATTTCATAGGGGTATGCAAAGTTGATTGACTTTCTGGATTTGGACTGTTTTACAATTTTGCAGTAGTAGAAGTTGAGTTTAGAAAGATGAGAACAATGGAAATGATTCCTATCTGGAGCAACACAAAGGATTTCTGTTCATAGTAATGCAAATGAATTTTGTTCACTAGAGATATATAAGTATTTGTAAGTCAAATAAAATATTAGACACATTTATTTAAATAAAATGCTTCCTGGAGTTTAAGCCAGTGTAGTCCCAGTGGGGCAGGAGATGGGAGCACATGCCGTGGGGCGGAGCTCAACATATGGGTCAACAGTTGCAAGGACTGGTGTCCCCAGATCTAAAGATTTACAGTGACTTGTACCAGTTACGCAATGAGGCGAGAGGGCTCTGGAGCCAGGTCGGGGCTGTCCTTTTCTGATCACTCTCAGCCTTTTCCCGCTTGACAGTCTTAAACAGTCGCTTCTTTCTTTCTGTGTGTTTCAGGCAGGACCATTTGAAGAAGTGCCTGCTTAGCTGAGTAAGCCTGGAAGTAGAGGCATACCCCGAGGCAAGAGAGTCTTCGATGGCCTTCAGGACATTATGGGCCAAAATCGGGATATCTTCCATAGGGTCATTGTTGAGGGATGTTAGAACTGAAAACAGAAAAGAGGAAACTCAGACCCTCCATTGCCAAACCCCATTATTTTACAACCCACATGCCAGAAGAACTTTTAACTTTTATTAAAAGTAATACTTGATGATAGAAAAGGTCTACAGACAAATTTTTTTTTATTAAATAATGGAAGAAAAGTCACTCATCCCCAGAGATAACACTTAATATTTTCATACTTTTCATTGCAGTAGTTTTAAAATACCTGATACTAGTTTTTATGCTTATTTTATTTATTTATGCATACAAGAACTGGGGTGTAGCCAGAGGTGCGAGGGGAGGGCGAGGTTGGGTGGTGCAGTGGCTACAGTTAGCTTCATAGTGTTGAGACTTAGCCCCTCATGTAACAGGGGGGTCCCCAGGAAAGGGGGAGGTTCCAGGTTTCCTGCCCCACTCAAGGGAGGGTGGAGCTGAGCAGAGAGAGAAGCAGCTGCAGAGGAGACTGAGGAGGGAAGGAAGCAGAATGGGGAGCCAGAAGGAGACCTGGAGGAGGCGCATCGAGCTGAGACATGTGAAGAAACTGCTCTTGCCTTTTGGTGGTGGACTGGGTGACAGACGTGGGTGAGACACCCGTGGGGAGGTGACAATGGCGGTTTTTGTCTTGATTTTTGCTCTTTCCCTCCAGACTTTTCTGGCTGTTTCTGATCCTTTTCTGTGGGTCCCCATTGGAAGATTCTTTAGACGTGTGGCAGGCCTTGCTCTGGGCCAATCCCATTTAGATGGACTTTTACCCACAAAGGGACGGGTGACTTTGGGTGCTTGATTTAGAAACTATATTCTTTGTCTTTTCTGTATTGTTCACTTAATTGTATTAAAATTCCTTCCCACTAAAGTCTTATTTGTTTTGTGTTGATGCAGCTGGATGGCAGAACCTATTTAGAGCAGGCAGGTTTGCAGGGCCTGGGGTGCCTCTCTCCCTGCCCTGTAACACTCTGACACTATTCAATACATTTTATCATTTCTGTGATGGACCCCATTAGCAGATAATTAAGTCTTTTGCAATGCTTCACTCTTGTTATTATCCACACTGGTGGAGGATAAGGATAGAAAAACTGGAAAGGAGGCGCCACAAGACCAGAAACCTGGGTTACACAATGCCAAGAGCTGGAGGTGTGGGTAGAGGGATTAACATACCCTTTAACCCAGCTAAGGGAACTCAGATCCTTAGCCAATGCCTAGACACAAAGCACAAGACCCAAGCAGGCATCAGACTGCTGGAGGGGGTGTCGGGAGTGCAGACCTGAAGGTGAAGATCTGCAGATGGAGGCCAGTGTAGAAATCTGGCCCCTTTCAAATTCTACATGTTTACTCCAAGTCAACAACAAACAAACCACTCCAGGAAGGAGTGAGCCCCTCCCAAAGAGAAGGAGGCTGTATCTGTGCAGGCTCTGCAGTGTCCCAGGCAGCAGTCCTCTGTCCACTGTGTCTATGCAGGTTCTTCCTTTTCACCAACTCTCTCCTCCGCAGGGCAGCAGCCTTTCTGCCTGCCGTGACCTGTGCCAGGCCGGAGATTCGCTTCACTGACCTCCTGAAGCTGAGGCAGCTCTCCTCAAGGCTGCCCACCTGTGACCATGCAGGCCTTTCTCTTAGCAAACCTGTCCCTTTCGGGGCAACCCTTTCTGCTGATCTGTGTCTATGCAAGTGTCCTTTATTCTCTCCCTTTTATATAAACCTGCCCTCTCGGATGTAACTAACGTCTTTGTGTCTGGAGAAGCTCTCTGGGGAGTTCGCCGATGCTGGTGGAAGGGAGCGATGGTGACACCTTTTCTAGAGTGAACCCAAGGACCCCATGAACCCAACAACTCCAAAAACGACATGAACATCACAGTCATCGTTAATTTGCCCAACAACCATCTACTGAGCCCTGACTACCACCAGGTGCTGTGCGAACTACTGGGGACACAGAGATGAACAAAACAGACAGATTTTCTACCCTTAGAACTTAATTCCAGTAGAGGGAAGACAAATTTAAGTACAAGCACAGACATTTCACAGTGATGAAAGCAAATACCTGGGAAGGGCTCCTTTAGATAAACCAGTCAAGGACTGCCTCTTGGAGAAGGTGACATTTTATTTTTTTTTAAAGATTTATCTATGCATACAAGAACTGGGGTACAGGCCAGAAGTGAGGGGGTGAGAAGATTCACCAGAGACAGTGGGGAACAGAACAGGCAGATTGACTGACCTATACTGCTGAGCGGAGCAGTGGGGAGTCAGGAGAGGTCTGCTGAGCCATCTTGGTCACCTCCCCGACTGGGGATCGAACTCCTGCTGCAGTGGCTGTGGGTAGCTTCACAGTGCTGTGTCTTAACCCGTTGTGCCACCAGGGAGGCCCCTGGGAAGGCGACATTTTAGCTAAGATCCAAAGCAGGAGAGCCAGTCTCATGAAGAGCAGGGGGGAACATCTCCATTGGGAGGAAGGGTGATGGAATCTTGCTGTCGAAATTAGCCGCAGCTGCTAGTAAAGGGGGCCATGATGGAGGTGAAGGCTGGGGACACAAGCCAGCTCATTCAGGGCCCTGTGGCCCTGATTAAGGTTAAGGGGCCAGCGGCTACCCTCAGAGTTACTGACGAGTTTCCCATAAAGGGGCGCTATGGTTCCAGGTGCACAGAGCTAAGGAGAACTGGCTGCTGAGGGAGAAGAGAGTGGAGAAGAGAAAAAGGGTGTTGTGATGGTTAAAGTGGTCCAGTGAGCAGAGAGGAATGGCAGCTGGGGGTTTAGATTCAGGTGGGAACCGAGGGGATGGGGACAGGGAATTGCTTAGCATGCAAAGAATCAAGAAAACTGGAAGAATCTTGGCTCATAAAAGGAAAAGGGTCCTCACACCCATTGGTGGGGTACAGCTTTGTGTTATGTCCTTTCTCCTAGAACAGAAAACGAGGCTGGCCTCCTGTCTTTGTGGTTTACGCCGTCTTTCTGGGATGGGATGAGGGGGGCAACATGAATTTCCTGGGATATGGGGAGGAGTCTAGGGTTTCTGGTCTGGATAGACTTTCCCTGAAATTCCACAATGGTGACTAGGAATCGGGGCCTATCCAGTCGAGAGAGCAGTTCCACAAAATGAGCAGGTATAGCAAGTGAGGGTCAGAACAGAAGCCAGGGTTCAAACCCCAATGGTGCTGGTGCTGCTCCCTTGTCACTTAGAAGCAGCGACAAGATACTTCTGAGGAAGCATCTTAAAGCAGAGAAAAGGAATAGATTGTTTGCAAAAGAACAAACACTAGAGCAGCACCGGGTTTCTTACTAGCAACAAAGAAAGCTACAAAACAATCATCTGAAATGTTTAAAGTGAGGAGAGAAAATAACTGTTGTTCTAGAATTGTGTTATTAGGAAAATCTTCTTGCAAGAATGAGGGAAAGAAAAAAATCATTACAAATAAACAAAAATGAAGAGAGAGTATAACCATCAAGGAACCTGCACTAAAGAAACCTCTAACAGTTGTATTTCACGATGAAGAAAAATGATCCTCAAAGGATGTCAGAGACACAAAAAGGAACAGTGTGCAGGTAATGCTGTATGGAAGTCTAATATATCTGTATAAAATACCAACAGTAATCCAAGCATCTAAATGCCAGGTTTGGGACCTCCCTGGTGGTGCAGCAGGTTGAGCGCAGCGCGGTGAAGCTGTCCACAGCCTCTGGAGCGTGGGTTCGATTCCCGGCAAGCAATACAGATACCCACATGGTGCGGCAGACCTCTCCTGTCTCACCCACTGCTTCCCTCAGCAGTGTTTCCGGTCTGTCTGCCTGTTCTGCTCCCCGCTCTGTCTCTGGTGAATTTTCTCACCCTCTTGTGCCTCTGGCCTGTACCCCAGTTCTTGTATAAATAAAATAAATCTTAAAAAAAAAAAGACCTGTTTGTACTAACATATGAAAAGTGGGGGCCAGGGGTGGGGGGGAAGCAAGTTGCAGAAACTTATACATAACACGTTTATAATCCATGCATATATTCTGTGAGTCCATAAACAAAGCGTGGGATTGTGGAGCAATCAGGCAGGGGAATAGGGAAGAAGAAGCAAGACTTGGGGGTTAGTGGAACTTAGCCCTCATTGCTAACGTTAACCTATTATTTTGCAAAGAGAGTACAGTCATGTAGGTCCTCTACATATGAATTAATCTGAAGATATTTTACTACAATCAAAAAGAATACAAAGCTGCTAGTTCTTCAGGGGGCAGGGACTGTGTCTGACCACCGGGGGCATCACCAGCCTTAGCACCTGCCTCTGTGCTGGCAGTTTTTATCCAACTAGCGCGACAACAGAGAAGTTGTTTTCTTCCTCCAACTTTTCGTTATTGTCTACTTTGATAACATTTACAGCGGTGAAAATAAATTTTTCTTAAAATAATGAAACATGTCCTTATGATTTCCCATCCTCCTTCCTACCTCGCCCCAACCACCCAGGGAACCCACCGAAGTACAGGGTTGTGACTCACCACTCCGCAAGAGCTGCACATCTTTGGGGTGGATGAGTTTCATGTTTAGCCTCTTTACCGTGAACCCTAAATGTAAAAGGTATAAAGTCCTTGGCCTTCGGCTGCCCCCTTCCCCAGGTTCAGTAATGAACAAGGATATTTGGAAACCATTTCTAGCAAGGAATGTATCTAAGAACTGCCTTGGACCTGGGTAGGAGTGTCCCTTTCAAAGAACAACCATTACAAATATTGTTGAGGGCCTCCTTGGGGGTACAAGGGGTTAAGCACCACACTATAAAATAATCCGCAGCCTCTGTAGCACAAGTTCAATCCCCGGCCGGCCAGGGAGCAACCCACATGGCGCAGCAGACCTCTCCTGTCTCACCCACTGCTCCCCTCAGCAGTGTATTTCAATCCATCTGCCTATTCTAAAATATTTATTTTTATACAAGAACTGGGGTATAGGCCAGAGACTTGGGAGGGTGAGAGGATTCACCAGAGACAGAGCAGGGAGAAGAACAGGCAGACAACCAAAATACACTGCTGAGGGGAGCAGCGGGCGAGGCAGGAGACGTCTGCTGCTCCATGTGGGTTTCTCTCTGGCCAGCCGGGAATCGAACCCGCACTGTGGAGGCTGATGGACAGCTTCACAGAGCTGCGCTCAACCTGCTGTGCCATCAGGGAGGTCCCATCTGCCTATTCTGTTCCCCACTCTGTCTCTGGTGAATCCTCTTACCTGCATCTCTGGCCTGTACCCCAGCTCTTGTGTGCATAAATAAAGAAATCTTTAAAAACAGAAAAAAAAAAAAGAAAGTTGAAAAGCATGTGATCTATGTGGTTGTGGTGCAGTAAGGCCAAAGAACCATACCAAATTTTGCAGTTTGAAAAAAATGCTATGCATGAGGGAGAAAATATGAGGGTGTGGGTGAGAGGGGACAGAGGAGATATATTCTTAGGGGAAAAACTCTATAATGTTAACAGTGGTTCATTCCAAATGAAATTGGAATTTCTGGCATTATTTCTTCTTTTTTTTTAGTCTGAATGTTTTAGGTTTTCTCACTCGAACATCTACTACTGTTGTAGTTTGAAACAGCATACTTTGAAAACTTCACGGGGTTCCAGAGGAAGCAGTAGTTTTTCCCCTCTCAAATGTCTCTGATTCTTCTCCCCACAAAGCAGAGCACAGACAGATGGGAGACCCCAGACATGCAGAGCTGGGGCAAAGGCATATAGCCCCCTCTTCCTCCCTGGGCCTGATCACAGTTAGTCCAGAGTTAGGAAAGGGAGCGAATTGCCTCATGGTACCATGATTCTGACTTAGCCCTTTAGCAGCTGGGCCAGGAGGGCCCCCCTGCTGGAGAGAGGGGCAGAGTCACCTTACCTATGAAGTTGAGTGCAGCTGCCCTTAGGAAGAACTGAGGGCTCTTCAGGAAGTCAAAGCTCTGGGACAGTAAGTCCCCCACGAGCTGCAATTTGCCTGTGCCCACCTGTGGGGTCAAACAGGGGTGGCGCTGACCGGGAGCTGGGGCTACTGGGCTCTTAGCTAAAGACCCTTTTTGCAGCCGTGGCCGCTCAGCCTGTCCATGGTCGAACCATGGCATCTTCAGCCAGCTTCAACCTGCACGCTGGGGCACACCAGCCAGCAGCAGTGCAGACTCAGGAGGAAGCCCGTAAAGGGCTTCGGCTGTGGAGCAGGTGACCCAGGTTGGAAGCTTAGAGCCTTCAGTTTGCTCGCGAGCTGAAGTTAAACCTGTGCAACCTCCCTCACAGAACTGTGAAGCTCCAATGGGATAATGGGTATAAAAGCATTTTGTCAACTGTAAAACGTTCTACCTGTGTCAGGCAATAAGCCTCACGATTCATCATATTAGAATTATTCCTGTTAGTCCCGAACCCACTTGCTTAGCCTTTAAATGTTTACTGTTGGACAAGGATTCCTAATCTTGCCCTGTGCTTGACTTGCAACGAGCCACAGACTAATTTCATGGCTTCTCACTGAAGCCCTGGCCCCTCCTGGGGACAGCTCTTCCTACAGTCCTCACAGGGGCAGGCCTCAGGCCATCCCCTGACCTTGCATGACCTCCCTGAGCCCTAAAGGCAGAGGCTGGATGCCAGGAGGATCAGACAGGGAGGCCCAGGGACTGGGACCTCCAATGTGGGCTCTGAGTTTACTGATGATAAGGAATGAGGATGGCAAAACGGAGGGCCTATATCTTCTCTCTGCCACCCCCTCGCCTGCCAGTGAGGCACTAGCAGGGACTTTGTGCCCTGGCTCCTCCAGGCTCACTCACCAGGTACTTGCAAGTTTCTTCCAACACGTGGATGTGGTCGCTGAGGGTGGTGTGCCGGAAGGCCTCCGTGAGTGACGACCAGACAATCACCTTAGTCCACTCGGTCAGGGCTCCTCCACAGGCCTATGGGGTGGAGCAAAGGGAATCCCAAAGTCACAGTCCTAAACTCTGTAGAGTCAGGCCACAGGCTAAGTAGAAGACCACAAAGCTAGACCCAAGTGGTAGCTGGGGTTAGTAATCAGCATCGGGTGAAACATGGGACCCTGTTTAGGACAAGACATCAATACTTTAAGGAGCAGAACTCGATCAGGTAAGACAGATGGCACTGAAATGGAGGGGCGGAAATGCTCAGCCAATCCAGGTGATACTGAAGAGATGGATAAATAACGTATAGCTGTGGTAAGGCCAGGAGCCACAGGGAAGGGGCTAGGCTCTGGCAGAAAGAGGCTGAAACCAGCTGGGGCTGGCAGGACAGAGGCCACAGTACCTTAATCACCTCGATGTTGGTGTCCTGGATGCTGAGCAGCAGGGGGACGAGAAAGGTATAAATCTCTTTTTGGATGGAGGATCCAGGCTTAAATTTGCCCACTTGACGTAGCATGTGACCCAGAGCAGAGGTGGCTGCGATCCTCACCTCGTCCCTCTCCTGCCATGAAAAGCAAAATGGAGATTATGTGGCTGTGGTTTCCATCTGATCCTGCCTGGCCTGGCTTCCATCTGCCCACCTCTCATTCTGCGTGTCCAAAGTGCTCTGTTGCAATACGTTTACATAAAGGCAACACACTCAGTGTCACTGAGTTCAAAGCTGATGAGTCTGTTTGTTAAGGCACTGTGCTAGAGAATCCGAGATCACAGTTTCAGGTCTGCTATGGGCCCTATGTACAGCTGGCAACTTTATTCTCTCCTAAGGATATAGCTCAAGAATGCCAAATTTTAAAAAATGCATTGAATATCCTAGTGATAACTGTATAAGCCTATAAATGGATAATTTGATAAATGTATAAACCTATAAAAAGTAATAAATGTGCAACCTACATTTGTGTTGGCTATCAGTGATCACCAACAGCTCTGTATATCAAAACTCCGTATATTTTCAGGATTATACTATATATTAATGGTTTATTTATTATTGACTATATTAAATATATACTATATGTTAAATATATTGTATATTAAATACATCGTGTTACATATTATATATTTAAGGATTGTATTAGATATTAATTGAACATATAATTGAGCAACAATTATGAGTTAGGTGTGCCTAGTGACTAAACAGAGATGGGTGAATGTTAGTATTTAATTAAAAGAACAAAGAAAAAAGGTATCACATGCAGATTAGCTAAAGATAAGTGACTGAGCATTGCCTCAACCGTCCTTTTATGCCCTGAATCCTTAAAGGATATCCAAAAAAAGAAATAGATTAAAAAACATATTTTTAGGGCCTCCCAGGTGGTGCAGGGATTAAAGACAATGCTATCAAGCTATCACCAGCCACTGCAGCACGAGTTTGATCCCCGGCGGAGCAACCCACATGGCGCAGCAGACCTGTCTCTCCTGTCTTGCCCGCTGCTCCCCTCAGCAGTATATTTTAGTCAATCTGCCTGTTTTGCTCCCGACTCTGTCTCTAGGGAATCCTCTCAACCCCCACACCTTGTACCCCAGCACTTGTATGCATAAATAAATAAATCTTTTAAAAAAAATTCAATAGATGGGTAGAACAGCAGAATCACCACAGCAAAAGGATGAATTAGTAAAGCCCAGCAGTTCTTTCAAAGTGGACACAGAGATGAGAAAAAAAAAGAAACATGGAAACAGGAAATAAGAAACTAAAGAAACTCCAAAGACCCGAACAGAAAGAAAAGAAGACATACCAAACATAATAATAGACCATTTTACAGATGAGGAAAGCCAGAGCAGCGCCTGGGTATGTTCACAGGATGACAGGAGTAGAAAAGTAGAGCCGAGAACCCAGAGGTCAGGCCCCCGCAGCCTCAAGGTTCTTTGCCTTTGGCCAGGTGGCCACTGTGGGGATGATGACTGTTTACTATTTCTATTGAATCACTAACATCAACTTACTGCTCCAGAAAAAAAAGATAACTGGACAACCTTTCCACTAATCAACACCCTTCAATGCTAGATAAACTATATACAAAAATACTTTGAAATGTACAGCTGATCTTACGAGAAAATAAGGGAAATTCACAGACCAAAGGTGGAGAGGCTGCTGATACTCCAGCTACTGCGGTGAAGGGAGCCAAACCTCCCTGGCCTCCATCCCTGACGGGCCTGGTTGTCAGGTCTACTGCTCTGCCCAGCCTGCCTGCAAGGCCGCCAGAGCTTGGAAGCAGGCCCCGAACAGACAGAGACATCTAAGAGAGCCCTTTAGTTCGTCTCCATGAGCCAGAAGGAAACGCAAAGTCCTCAAAGAGACCGAGGAAGCCCTCTTTTCTTTTGCTTCCTCCTTTCTCTCAGGTCCCAGCCTCGCAGGCCTAGCAGCCCCCAAAGGGGTCTACAGAGGCCAAAACCCTTGGGAGAAGAAATTTATTTTGCTTTGGAAGGAGCTGTGGTGGGCAAACCCTCACTGTCTTATTTCCTCGTGCCGCTTGACCCAGGTGTGGGCCCAGTCACAGAAGTGCCTGGCACTGGGGAAAACTAAAGACCCAGCTCTGTAGGCAAAAGACTGGAGGGTGGGGGGAAGGGAGTCCCCAAGAGCTGTAACACCAAGGATGTCACCGAGAGGGAAGAGCTGAGGAAGGTAACTCTACAGAGTTGTTAAGAACTCCTGAACTTTCCCCAGTTTCCTCTCACTGTGTTGGTGTGTTTTCTCCAGTAGCTCCTTCAGGAAACTTTTGGTGAGAGAGCAAGTGGGTTAAGTGAGAAGCATGTGCCAGATCAGTGTGTAACAGGGGGCACAGCTGGGACAATCCCATGCCCTGCCCCTCAGTAGCGTCAGTCTTCCAGCACAGTCCCACAGTCCTGCCCCTGTGTCCTCTGTTCAGCTGCCAAGTGTCAGCCTCAGCCCCAGCCCATACTGTTTCCCACTGAGCCTAGGGACTTGGGGCCATACATCATTAATGAGTGGACGCAGTTGCTTGGAGATGCTGCAAAAGACGACCTTGGCCTCCATCCCCTTCCCGTGGCAGATGATGTTCCGCAAAGTCTTCACGGCCTGCACTGTCACTCGTACCTCACTCTTCAGGAAGTTTCGCAAGAATGGAGCCAGGCTTTGCAGAGACTCTGACTGTTTGGAAGAAGGCAGAAATGGGTCACCGCCTGGGGCTCGTGCAACCCTTGGGGTCGATGGTTTGAGAAAAGAAATGGTGCCTGAGAGAAACAGGCATGAGGAATCCCAGGGAGTGGAAGGCTGATGCTGGGGGGTTTAACACCTGACGGTTGTTCTGCGTAGGTCTACAAACTGGGCGTCACTTCCCAAGGATGAGGGGCTCAGGAATACATTGGGTTATAGAGACCCAGGGAGGTGAATTAAATGCTCAGGGACCAGACCGGACTCCTGTTGGCGTTCCCCCACTCACCTGCTTTGGGTGCAGTGCCAGGTTGCCGATTCCACGGAGGCCAATTTCTTTCATCGTAAGATTGGGCTCCTTGATCCACTTGACCAGATTGCCCAGAAATTCCTGCCCCAGAGTCTGAGCCACTGACCGGTGCCAGAGCAGCTGGGGGTGCAAAGACACAGCCATTATGAATGGAGGCGAGGTTGTGGGTTCCCAGTATCCCTCCAGCCCTCCCACTACCGCCCCCCAATCAGGTCAGGACTGTGTCCACTTGAGAGAAGTAGCTAATCTGTGCAAATGGGATACAGATTAATGGTAAAAAATAGGGGGGTGATGTTGATAAGGGCTCACTTTTGGGCCAGGTGCTGGGATCCACACATCACGCTAGTAGGACTAGAGTTGCTGGCCTCCTCCCAGGATTCCTGGCTCCTTTAACCAGGCCCCTGAAGAGCCAGGGAAGCAAACCCCAGTTTACAGGGCTTGGGTCTATTCTTCCCACTTTCTGCGGCAAGTTATTTAGATTTCTGCCCGGTGTTCCCCAACTACAGGGACTGAATGCCTGGGTTGTGGACCTTTTCTCAGGCTCTCACCTGTGCGTAGAAGGCTCTGGCTAGGATCTTCCAGTGATTATCTGGGTTGTACAGGAGGTTCCTGACGAGGTTCAGGATTCGGTGCAGAACGGCTGGCTCACAGCTTATCACAATACCACTGGGAGGGACACAGGAAGCCAGGAGTTGCCGCGGGGAGGTGGCAAGGGGCCAGTGTACATGGAACAGCAAAGACATGAGGGCTGAGGATCAGGAGACCAGGGGGCTGGGAGGTGGGGAGGGGTGGTTGAGGCTGGGAACTGGGATATCCAGGCCAGGGACAAGAGTGGCACCAGGAAAAATGGCCCCACCTGGTCAGGTCCATGATCCCAATGTGGTAAAGACTGGGGGAGGACAGAAGGTCCCAGGAGTGATGAAGGTCTGCATAGTTCACCACTCCATCATATGCAGCTGCGAGTATCACCAGCTTCACCACCTCCAGAGCACAACTGAAGGCCAGCGCCATTGGGTTTGCGGAAAGAAAGGGAGAAAAGGATGGACTCAGCATTAAGCCTAGTTTGCATCCCTGTCTGGCAGGCCAGGAGACAGGTCCCTGCTCTGGTAGCTGCATTCTGCTTCCTTGGGGGCAGAAATCCACCATCTGTCAAAGCCAACTCCAGGTGCCTGTCCCTTCACCTCCTCAACCCTCAACCCTCAACCAGTTGAGGCCTGAGAGTTACCACAGTGCCGGGTGTTCAGATCTGCTCTCCCAGGTCCAAGACGAAGGTCAGGACGGCTCTCTTTTCCCACACCCCCTCAATCAGAATGTCTCTGCTTGGAGGTTGTGGTTTTTTTTTTAAAGATTTATTATTTTATGCCTACAATTACTAGGGTGCAGGCCGGAGGTCCAGGGGGTGAGAGGACTAACCAGAAACAGAGTGGGGAACAGAACAGGCAGAATGATTGAAATACACTGCTGAGGGGAGCAGCAGGCGAGTCAGGAGAGGTCTGCTGTGCCATGTGGGTAGCTCCCTAACTGGGGATCGAGCTCATGCTGCAGTGGCTGGTGACAGCTCGATAGTGCTGAGACTTTAACCCCTGTGCCACCAGGGAGGCCCTGCCTGGAGGTTTTATTTTATTTTTTAATTTTTATTCATGAAGTACCCTTGTTTTACGTCTGTTAGCATTTTGGCCACATAGCACATCTCCCCTTTGGTGTGGCCATCGTAGCTCACCCACCAGCGATGCTTCCTGGTTTTGTTCTCAATTTCACATAAGATTGCATTTGAATAGGATGTCCTGAGGCTTCCTAAAAAAGTATGACAGTCACTTATTGAGGAAGCTAATCCCCAATCTTATAGATGAGAAAACAGAATTCTAGCCGTGACTTATACAGGGTGACAGCTAGTGACAAAGCCAAGCCAGAGGTGAACCCGATTGGAATGACCACAACGGCCCAGTCTTGCCCTGCCTTTGACCATCTAATCGAATCTCTTGGTGCACAGAGTTATAAACAAGAATGTAAACTACTGAGGCCGTCAGGAGAGAATGGGTGAAAGGAAAAGATGAAGAGGAACTAGAAAACGTGTGGGGCTATTCTGGCACATGATGCCGTGGCACCCACACCCCACACCCATTTGCCATCTCCACGCCTCTTCATCAGCATCCCTCAGAGATCACGATGCAGTTGTCCAGGACTCTCTGGAATTGACTTGCTTTATTGTCCCCTAGCCCTGAGGTCAGGCTTACCTGGTGGGGTCCAAGGAGTTGCTCTTAGAGCCCAGGTACCCCTCCTTGTTGTACACCACCATCTTCTGGGCAGCATTTTGTTCAATCACCCAGTGGAGATGATACAGGACAGCCAGCAATAGGCGGGGGTAGAATTCCTGGATAACCTCCTGGCACAAGGACCCCGAAAACATCTCACACAAGGCACATGCCACCTAGAGGCGGGGTGGGGGTATGGTGAGAGCAAGAAAGCAGAATTGATCAGATTGGGGTGAAAAATATAAAGTGCACCCATGATCCGGCACAGAGTTCTGTCCTGCCCTTCCTATCACTGCCCAAAGGGCATAGCTCACTGTGACACAGGCTTACAGGATGCCCCCAAGACTGAAAATGAGGGCCCATATATATGCATCATCTGTGCTCTCTTTATGCCCCTGACATTAAAAACTAAAAGGAACAACTGACCCTAAATCTTCAGCAGATGATGATTTGGGGCATCCTTTTTGTGCATCCCAATTCTAGGCAACAAAACCGCCTCCAGCCCCCTGCCCCACATTACACCCCAGGCCCTGGAAAAATGAGTGCCAGCACCAGCACACAGCCCCACGTCTGGTCTCTGGTCCATGAAGGGGAGTTCAAGTGCTCATGGAAGGCTGGATGTCAGGGATGACTGTGCTAGCCTTCCATTTTACTCCTCCCTGACGCTGTTCCCTCCCTGACGCAGAGCTTCAGCTCTGCCCCTCAGTCCAGCACAGTATGTTCCAGGCTCCCACTCCTCCCTGGTGCTGACCGCCACAGACTGGAAGGCCATCTCCAAGGTTTCCTCTTTGGGGTGCGGCTTTTCCAGAATGCTTATGAGCAGCAACAGGATGCTGATTGTGCTCTCCCGCAGGGTGCCAAATGCCTTCCACACATTCAGAATGGTTCTGCAGGACAGAGACAGCTGTAACATGGGCCCTGGTGACGGAACCCTACTCCTAGGGCTGGGCTGGTCTTGGGCCAGTTCTCGGGGTCTAGAGGAAAGGAGGCCAAAGAGGACTGGGCCAAAGAACACAGAGATGACATCTGATTGGTGTCACAGAGAAAGCATCTATGGGCAGTGACTTTTATGCTGGAGACAGGGGTTGGGAGGCATGCCCGGGGAGGTACCTATCCCAAGGCAGGGGCTTGTTGAGCAGCATGGGCACCACGGTGTGGGTGTTGCTGCCTGCCAACCAGCACATGGCCTGCAGGGTCTCCTCCTTCGTGTTGGGCTCCAGCTGTGAATTGAGCCGCTCAAGGATGCCCTCCACAACCTCCTCAATCTGCAGGGCAAGGCAGAAGAATCTCAGTGTTGCCTCATGGGCTGGCAGCATTGGAAGCGGCGTGGGGTGAAGGAAAGATTACTCAAGGTCCAAGTAGTGAGAGGCCTGGAGGGGCTACACCAAGGAGGGCTGGGATTCCGCACCTCAGGAATGCTTTCTTAGCTTCCATCCCTCCACCCCCCCATCTTCCAAGGCCCCAAATTCAAGGAACTTCTTTGTCATCCCACCAGTCACTCTTCAGTAGAGTTCTGGGTGCCAGGCAAGAGAGATCAGCAGGGGACACAAAAGGAATCCCAGAAGTTGGTGCCAAAGTCGGCTACAACAAATGCTGCCCACAGACCAAAACTCCAGGGAGGGGCTCCCAGGTGGCTCAAGAACAGGAGACTCCCCCCTGCACCCCCAGGAAAGAAGGCAGAGCCTGGGAGACAAGGCATGGCTTCCTTTCCCAGAAGACATCAGCTTCCACCCAGGGACACTGGCACTGGGCATGGAGGGAGAGGCCTCTCGGCTCCTCTCACCTTCGTGACATAGGAGGCTTGGGGCGCCCGTTTCACTTAACACAAAAAGGACATGCTCAGAGACGTCCTCCCGCTTTGGGGGCCAAGGCCAGATATGTCATAGAAATGAGCAAAGATCTTGGGTGCAGATGTCAACGGAAGCGCCCGAGCCATGGGCGAGGGAGAGGCCCCTCAGAGAGCCCTCTGGGCCTCCCTTTCAAAGGTTTGTTTTTGATATTGTTGTTGTTTTAGTGAAATGAAAAATGTGGTTTTCATGCAAACTTTCCTGTTTTTATGCTAGCATGAAAGAAAACTCATTAAAAGATCAGTGTTAATCTATGAGCTTGCTCTTTGCAGTCCACAGCCTTAGCCGTCACAGAGGTCTGCGTCTCCTGCCACCCCAGGGAAGCAGATTCACCCAACGTGCCTCTGGCTACCAGGCCCTCCAGCTGCCTCCACCCTTGAACTAGGGAACTAGCCCTTCAAATAGGAGGGACTACATTTAGGAGCTCAGGGTTACAAACATCAGTGGGAACACGGAGAAAACCTAGTACAAGCATCCATCTCAGAGGGGAGTGGATTAAAGCCTCCTGGGGCAGGACTTGCTCCAGGTCCCTCAGCTGGTTAGAAACAGCCAGGAGAGCGTTCCAGGCTCCTGATGTGCAGGGCAGACCCTCCCCCGAAAGGTGCAGCAGCACTCACCTTTATCACGTCTTTGCCCCGCTCTTTCAGGACAGCGCTCATCAGCTGGGCTAGCGCCAGAGACACCTTGGCCCGGCTGTCGGTCAGGCCCTCTATGGCCGTCAGCACCAAGGTGGTGACCTGGATCTTAGTGAAGTACTCTGCAAATGCCTGCAACAGGGTGGGGTCCGACCAGGTGCATCTGGGTGTCCCTGCCTGAGGGAGCTAACCTTCCTGGCTCGGACAGGAGGAGGAGGCGCTTCTCTCAGAACATGAGATACTTTTGACCTCGGCCGTCCTGTCTGCCTAGTTCCCAAGGACGCTTTCACTAGAGACAGCCTGGGGACAGGAGGGGAAAACACTGATCTCAGATGCAACAGAGGGCTCAGAGGTCAGAGGCTGCAGCGGCAGAGCCCTGGGACAGAAGGGTCAGGGCTAAGATCCTAAATGCTGTCTCTTTGAGGCCTGGGTGGGAGCTGCACTAGTGGGAAGCCAGTGCTCCTGGTGAGACTGGTGATGAAGGAGGACCCCCAGGGGGCACACATGGCAGGGAATTTGAAGCTCACATCAAGTAATAGAATGGGAAGGGGCATGGGGTAAGAGAGCGCCCCCTCAAGTCCACAGCCTTATGTACCAGAGGCCGCTCTCCCGCTGTGCCTGACCCTGCTCCCTCACCTTGGCGATCTCAAAGGTGCTGTTATAGAACACGTGGGCACTATAGATGCCACTCTTGCTGTCCTCTTCCCACAAGCCCTCTTTCTTCCTTGCCATCTCTGAAACAAGACACACAAGCCCATGCCTCAAACACACAGAGGCTTCCCAGGTTCCCCTCTACTCTCTGTCGGGGACCTGGCCTAGTCCCAGATACCATGTGCACTAAGTCAGCCTGGCAAGACGGCTGTCCCAGGGGCTGGGATAGAGAACAGACGCTGGGTGGGGAATGGTGCGAGCTCGTGGCAAAGGAACCCCGTCTCAGAGCAGAGACGGAGCCGGCCAGAGGGCTGCACTCAGCCAGGGAAGCCAATGCTAAAGCACTGTTTCCTGGGCAGGTGTTCTGTCCCAAGTGGGCATCTGCAGAGGTTGGGGGCAGGTTCCTCAATGGAAGTCAAGTACTCAGGTAACTTCTTGTCACTTGCTTTTCTGGATTATTGTGGGGGTGGGGGGGTATGGCTGGGTCAAAGAGAGAGGCCCAAGCTGGGGGGTGGGTGACAAGTGAAGTTGTCCATACGCTTTTGCCGCAAGAGGATACAGTAGAGGTTGTAGACAGCCTGGGCGGACAGGAAGCAGATGTTGTCCACAGGGTCCTGGCAGCGCATGGCCAGAAGCCTCACCAGGCGTCCCAGCCGGGTGAACTCGATTTTATTCTGAGAAGGAGAGTTGAAAGTCACAAGCTATCCCCTAAGCTGAGTTGTTTCAGGAAAACTATTAGGAGGAAGGGATGTGTGTGCCAGAGACACTCGAGGTGAGGTAGGTGAGGAAAACAGGAACTCAATGGCTAAGTTATGACTATAAAGGACTTATAGTGTCATAGACTTGGAATGATCTTACATTATCCCCTTTGTGTCTTGACACCACACTCTTCCTCTAAGCTTAGTTCAAATGTCTCCTCTTTCAGGAAGCCCTCCCTGATTCCCTCTCTTGATAGCATTTGTATTTCAACCTTGTATTCCCACTACATTTGGTTGGTAATTCATGATCATCTTCTCTGGAAGTCTGTTCTATGCATTTCTCTCCCTCAATGGACTCTGAGATCTTTGAAGACAGGGGACTGTCAGGGTTGTCTACGTATGTATCCATGCATGTCACCTCTTATCCACTGTCACATCTAACATGCGGTCTGGCACAAGGGGAATATTCAGAATCTGCTTATTGAGATGAATAGAATCAATCTGAACTTACAGGAAGGAATTGTCAGAAGGGAGAAAGGGGGCTTCCCTGGTGGCTTGGTGTTGGGTCGGGAACGCGCCAGCACATTCCCAGGGACACGCTGAGGGATGAGTCGTGAAGCAGGTTAGCAAGGTAAGACTTTGCAGCTAAGTGGGCAGCCCTCTTCTTATTTATTAGGAGTAATAAACAAGCAAGATTGTTATTATTATGTGACAATGTCAGGAAGAGCAGGGTCCAGTGGAGACAAAGGATAATCAACTTTATGGGGAATTGGAGGGACATGTTGGCCACGTATACGGGGAGGACTTCTGGGCTACTTCCAGACCACCTCAGACCATGGCCACACAATTGATCAGTGGCTTCCTAGGCATCCCCAGCTGCCTTGGTGCTTTATCCAAATCCTATACACACACACACGTGTGCATAGAGAGGCCATACACACACAGGTGCAGAGGCCCCAAGTAGTAGAGAAGCCACAGCTTGGGGGTTAAATCTCAGTGCTACCACTTTGACTCACCCCCCCCCCGCACCCCCTACACGACAGCCTGAGTTCCATCCCCGACACGTGACCTAACCCACAAGGCGCAGCAGACCTCTCCTGTCTCGCCCGCTGCTCCCCTCAGCAGTGTATTTCAGTAGATCAGCCCATTCTGCTCCCCACACTGTCTCTGGGGAATCCGATCACCCCCACCACCTCTGGCCTACACCCCAGTTCTTCTATACAAAAATAAATAAATAAAATCTTTAAAGAATAAAGGAGAAAGGAGAGAACAAGAAAAGATGCACAAGCGAAAACAGAGGACCGGGCCAGGGACTGAGACTAGGTAATACATATGATGAAGTTTGGGGAGGCAGGAATGAGGGTGACCAGAGGGGGCCCGAGGGAAGACTCCACTCACATCAAAGTCCTTCATCTTTGCAATGAAGCCCAGAATCCGGGCGGTGCACCACATGGCCCGCTCCCGCTCGCTGTCCTTCTGGGAATTCAGCCACGTGTCCAGAAGCTGGAGAGAGAAAGGGATGAAAGGAGGGGTCTCTGCAGTTGCACCCCTGGATTAGGAGGGTAACCTTGACTCTTCTGCAAAGTATCGGGCCAGACTTCTGAGAGCAGGAATTCTTTTACCTAGAGGCAGATTCTATGTGGGTCTGGCAGCAGAAACCTTCACTCCTCCAGCTCCCAATTTTGCCTTGATGTGTGTGCTAGAAATCTCGGTATCTCCTTTCAGGTTTAAAGCAGTAGCTCTCAAGTTCTACTGACCCATTGGCTACAAGAGGCCAATAGATCCAGCATCCCCTATCATCTCCTCCCATTCCTCAGTAGGAAGAAGTTGGTGGCAACAAGGCAGAAACTGTGTTCTTAGAATCCAGGGTGTATTGTGTATCAATCAGCTTGAGAAATGAAATTGGAGATGATTCCTATGTGAAACGCAATGCATAGGAGTCTCACCAAGGGCCAAGTATGGGACCAA